AGCAAAAAAATAAGATGAAAATACAATAGAAAATTCCAGAGATACATCTTCGGAGTCTGGGAAACTAAAATGTTGAAAACTTTTGGAGATGCATATCTAGAATTTCTTGCATAAAATTAAACGCTGAAAAATTTCGAAGATGCATCGCCGAAATATCGTGCAACTCAGAAGTTACGTCAATGGTGTAATGTACCTTATACAATCTCAAAAAAAAAAACTTGTTTCAATCATCATTTTCAACCAGCAAATAACTATTCACTATGTCTAAACTATCTTAAATGTTATTTCTACTCATTTATAAATATAATAATTGATTTCTACTCATTTACACAAAAACTCAAACATTTGTCAAAAACTCGAATATCTTACAAGAAATTGATGTTTTTGATGTTACAGATGAAGATTGATATTCTCTTGAGCTTTATTGAATGAAGTTTGACTTGGTGTAGAGAAGAAATTTGAGAGAGTTTGAGTAAAATGTTAAATGAGGAAGGAGAAGAGTGTGGTGCGATTTAACCTTCAAAATGTTCCAGAGATGCATCTCCGGAATATTTTAACGTTAACTAACTTTTTGGTGCGTCCGAAGATGCATCTCCGGAAACTGGGAATATTCTTGGAATTTCGCGTGGTGCATAAGAAGCATATGTGGTACATTAAGAAATCCTCCAAAAAATGTGTGTTTATTTAAATCCGTAATGGAATTTCAAAACACTGATTACAACCATCAACACGAGTTTTCAATGGTTGGATGGTTGACGTATGAAGGTGAAAAAAGTAAAATATTGTTGTCCATACATAACATTGACTGATAATAACCCTGAGGATACGTACATGTATTAATGACAATCATTTTTTAAATCTTATCCTTGTGGTCAGCTTAGCTAAAATGTAAGGAAACAATTATTCGTGTTTCAAAATCACTCTGCATTTTGTTTTATAAAAAACTTTTACATATGTAAAACAAAAATATAGAATATTTTTTAATGCACCCTATATGTTTCTAGTTCACCTTGTAGATTTCCACATATGCCCCCTGATTCCGAAGATATATCTTTGGACATACCCTAAGTTCAGTGAACGTTGAAATATTCTGAAGATATATCTCTGGGATAATTTAGAGCTTAACTCGCGCCAGACTCTTCTCCTCCCTCATTTCACAGTTTGTTCCGCAAAAAACACCAAACTCTCTCAATTTCATCTATTGTCACAAGCATCAAATTTCATCAAGCAAGGCGTCAGAGGAACTCAAGGGAATATTAAACATCATCCCTAATATCAGAAACAACATCTGAATCATCAATTTCATGTAAGTTTTTTCAAGTTTTCGGTAAATACTCGAGTTTTAGTGTAAATGTGTAAGAATCAGTGATTAGGGGTAGAAATGTGTAGAAATCACAAGTAACATAGTTTAGACATAGTGTATGACTTGTTTGTTGGTTCAAAATGGCGATTAAATCTTCTTTTTTTTTCACATTGCAAGAGGTACATTAGACCATTGTTGCGATCTCTGAGTTGCAGAACATTTCGGAGATACATCTCCAGAATTGTTCAGGGTATCATATCCTTTAGGATATTCTGGAGATGCATCTCTGAAAGTATTCAAAGTAAAAAGTTTTAAGGTGTTTTCGGAGATGCATTTTCATAATTGCTCAACTTTATTATTTTATGGTGTTTCTAGAGATGCATCTCCATAATTTCTTGTTGTCTTATTTTTTAAATATTCTTGTTTGTGTGTTTTGTCTGTGTGCACTAATGATACGCCTTACTTTACCTTATAGGCATTATGGATAACATAGTCGATAGACTGAGACATGGCTAGGTTGCCCAGCACGCGTTCGTTCGATGGGAGCGGAAGTAGCAGGTTTTGGAGGCAGCAAGTATATTTGGTAAGGAAGAGACGTCAACTTTTAGGGCGCAGTCTACTCCTGGGGATCGTCCTTCACCTCATGTCACTTTATATCAGGCCAATCCACCCTCATCTTAGACCACTCCACCTTCTTCTTCTTCCCGTAGGAGACAGGATTCACCATATGACGCGTCACTTCCCCATCCTCCCGCAGGCGTCAGGATTCACCAATGCCACCTCGTACGGATCCAGTGTCACCTTCCGCTGATGATTTTGTTGATCCCGTGCCACCACCGGAGGGTGAGGATGTTGCAAATACCGAGCCATAAGATTTTGGAGGAGGCCCATATGATATGTCGTTACTTCCTCTATATCCAGACCACACTGTCAGACATATCTAGGATAGAAAGGTAACATTAGTTGGATTATCTTTTATGCGTTAATTTTAATTTTAATTTCTGACAATGATTATAATTGACATTGTTTATTTCGGGCAAATTTTAGGAGCGTGATCCCTAGAAATTTCTGATCCATGGGAGGAAGATTGCTGCAATGCCTCAGCAGGAAGAGGATTGGTTTTAGAGTGTTCTATTTTTATCTGGTCTGAAGGACCTTTGCATGACCGGTTACACTCTGCTCAACCACGAGATGCTTAATGCATTCATGGAGAGATGGCACTCTGAGACATCTTCGTTTCATCTTCCGCATGGTGAGATGTCTATCGCACTGGACGATGTCTCGTGTTTGTTACACCTTTCGATCAGGGGGAAGTTTCTCGATCATGGAAGGATTACTAGATACGAGGCATTTGAGATGATAGTATAGCATATAGGGGAAGATCCAGAGAAGGCAATGGAGGAGGTCGATAAGACCAGGAGTGCTCGTGTTAGATTTGAGTTCTTGAGGAAGTTGTATGTGGACGAGATCAGTATAGCACAACAGGCACATGGTGATGTTGAGCAGCAGGAGGTACACATGACGCATGCTTTGAGAGCATACTTTCTTTTTTTGGTTGGAACTTGTATTTTTGTGGAAACGAGTGCCACCTACACTGACGTCGTCTATCTCTGGTACTTATTAGATTTCACTCAGATCCATGAGTACAACTGGGGGGAGGCTTGCCTAACATATATGTATTCAAAGTTGAGGGAGGGATGTCTGTGGAAGACGAAGCATGTCACAAGCAGCACGAGATTATTGATGGTAATAATATTTTATCCTTGAATGTTTTTTTTATCTTTTTCATTTCATATTTGCGAAATCATTGCCGATAATTCTTGATCCCTGAATGCTTTTTTTCTTTCTTCATTTCAGTCTTGGATCCTCTAGCACTTCCCGCGCATCTCTGGCTGGGCGAGTGTGGACGAGTACACTGAGGACATGTTGTGTGCCTGTGCTTTTATCCTGCTCAGAGGGAACCAGCCGACCGAGTCTTTCAGAGTCTATCTTGATTGTTTGGTTGCTGAGGACATCCATTTCAACAGCTATGTGGATTCGTCAGACACAACCATTTGACATATCGATATACTCCTGATGGTTGGCATGTGAATCGCGTATTCTTGCTCCTCCTCATCTGCCCAAGCGCATCATGTGGCAGTTCGGGTACACCCAAACATCTTGTTGTCTCTGTTCCTCTTGCCTTTGTCTTGTAGATAGATATAAGAGTTTGTTTGCTGATTATGAGAGTCACCTGGTACCAGAGGAGGCACGAGCTACCATAGTGTCGAACAACCGGAGCTATGTCGGCGGATACATCAGGTGGTTCTTAGGGTCTCACATTCGTACATGGTGCAGACTGCTCAAAGAGATCCGCCGAGACCAACTCATCAAGAGATTCTAGAGGAGGAGCAGGCTTAACTAGATTATACTAGGATGTCTTGCCTCGGTGTTGTTACATAGTGAAGGTTGCACATACAGACATTGACGAGGATATTTTCCCTGAAGGGTATGTTGTCAGACGAGTCCTAGATGCCATGGTGACGAAGGCACATAGGACGTTGTTGTACCAGAGACATTGCTAGAGGACGGGGGGATTGATGGCCGAAGAGGCAGAGCAGACATAGGAGGTATAAAAAAGGTTGTCAGGTACACTCAGTAGTTGTCTGCTATTAATTTGTTGCAGTATCATATTTTGCACTTTATTTCTTACATTGTTACTACATTTTGGATCTCGCTATATTCGACATTTTTCTGTTATATTATTTTTAACACACCCAATATTAGTCTCTTATAATTTTGGACATCTATTATTTTATTCGAGATCGTGCTTCATACTTCATCTGAAAACAAATACACAACTTATAATAAAAAATACATGTTCTAATACATTCAGAGATGCATCTTCGAAATATTCACGAAGATATATCTCCGAAACAATTCAAATCTAAATAGTGTCTGAATAACATATTTTGAATGTTTAAAATATTTCCGGAAATATATCTCAAAAATATGTCAACGTTTATTAAAAAATATGGTACTTTTGAAAATGTATCTTCAAAATCAAAGGACATGTGAAAATTCACATGGTATATTAAAAATATATAAGGTGCATTAAGTAATTTCCAAAGTATTACGAGTACTTTTCAAATTATGTACTAAAACTGTACTGTACTGCATATTTATGCCAAATATGTCAAAAACTTAGGCAATAAACACTGATTGACCCTGTGTAACCAGGGAGTCAAAGGAGATCCCTTGACCTTATACCCTATGAGAGTTTGACATTCCTTGAGATCGAGAAACATAAGATGATGCATATCATGGTAAAATAAACAGATCCAACCATAAATAAATTGTTGCACCTATTTTGAACGTGGTTAAAAGATGTTCAGCATTGTTGGGGCAAGTAATGTACCCAGCAACATACTAAATCTCAGTGCTCCTTCCAGCTTTAACATTACAACTTACAACCAAAATTTGGGTTTTGCAAATAAAAAAAGGACGAATAATAAAAACAATAAGCTGGAGTTGCTTGAAGAAAGCTGCCTGATTTGGACAATGAATTGCTCAGAGAATTATCGTAGTCTGGGTTCTACAGCTGACCCTTTTTCATATTATTCTCAGGAATACTATATTCATCGGCAGATGAAAATTCGACAAGGGAGCAGTAGCAAAGTTTTGTTCCTTGATATATAACTGAGGGTTTCTTCCTTTATCATAAGGTCCTTTCTAGAATAATACACCAGTTGGATTTATCAAAAAACTGATCAACAACTCTAGCATTGCTTATTCCATTTGTCAAGCTGTAAAAGGATATGAAAATAAATTAGAAATGACAATTCCATGTTGCACATAAACATGTTAAGTCACATGAAACATACCCTGTTAAAAGTTGAATATTTATTTCGGAAACATAGAGTACATGGACCCTTCAGATTCAGCTATCACAAATTTGTGCTGCACTGAACCTTCAGACTCAGCTATATAACTAAATTAGGGTGAGAAGATGCATGAATGTTTATTTAAGAATACTTGATTCTCTTCTTTGTTACTTTTCAAGACCAATTCTTATACTTACTCCAAATGACTTTTAAAAATCCGTATCCTCTAATAAATAGTGGAATGGGGAATCGACATCCAGGACATCCAGACCAAGCACGGCAAATGAATAACTACTTTAACTACTACAACAACAACCAAGACAACGTTCATCTTAATATTCTATTCAGGACCATACTTCTATCCAAATCGTTAATCTCGAGATCTTCCTTAATAACTCCTCTTAAAGTTTTTCTACTTCTTCCTCTACTTCTAGTTGTCTGACTTTTCTTATCTCTACATGCCCAAACCACTTAAGTCTATTTTCCACTATCTTTTCTACTATAGGTGTTACCCCAACACTCTCTTGAATATTGACATTTTTAATCTTGTCTAGTCTTACCACACATCCAACGCATCATCCTCATCTCAGCTACACTTTTTTTATTATCTTGTCTAGTCTTACCACACATCCAACGCATCATCCTCATCTCAGCTACACTTTTTTTATTCTCGTGTTAGTTATTTCATGGGATAAATATTCTCTAACACTTTCAATGACAAGATTCCCAATAAATTATTACATCCAAAGACTTGGCCCAGTGGTACAGGCAATGGATTAAAGATTTGTTTCATTTTATATGGAAAATTATAAAAGAGGAGGGGAGTAAATTTTATGATAAACTAAACAAGCAATGGAATAAGATTTGTTTCATATTTATAGGGAAAATTGTATTGGAGGGAGTGACATTACCTTTCAAGTTCGCCTTCACTGAAAACATGATAATATCTGTTATAAACCACAGCACCCTTTATGTCATCTTTAGTTGCAAGACCAGTAGCCAAAGCATGAGCAGAAGCACCACTAACTTCAGCGCGATGATAAGGTAAATGCCAAGGAACAAAATACTCCTGCTGATTCTTCACATTCTCTTCTTCCTTCAAATCTCCCAAAACTTCAGACACATTGCAAACTTTCCTCTCCTCGCCACCAAAGCCACTCTCCTCAATTTCCGGAATACTTTCCAACGACGGCGACGAAGTTAACCGAGCAGCACGTGGACTTCCCGATCCTTGCCACTCTTCAACATACTTATCAGCAAGCGGAGTCCATTTGTTAAGCAACGAGCTATCCTCTTGTTCAACAGCCCAAACCGTAATCAAAACAAGACCACCCTTTTTAACAACTCTAACTAACTCTTCAATAGCTTTTCTCCTTCTATTCTCAGTACTCAAATGATGCAACACAGCAATAGATATTGCAGCATCGCCGAAACCAGTTCTATAAGGAAGATTCACAGCATCTGCTACAAGAACTTCATGTCCTCTATCCAAACATATCTTAATCAATGAAGGACTTATATCACATCCTATAAAAAAACAATCTTGATTAAAACCTAAATATTTCCCATTCCCACATCCTGCATCAAGGATAAGAGATCCTGAAGGCAGAGATGAGAGAAATTCAGCAACTTTCGGCCATTTTGCAAACCTAGTTGAACTAAAATGCGGGGCAATTGCATCATAAACACTATGAACAAACTTTTTCTCAATTTCAGGGGTAGATTTCACACTTATAGATGATGAGGAGGAATTATCTGTGATGCAGGGATCTTCAGATTCAGTGTTTATTTGTTTCATTGAAGTAAATCGTGGTGAAATGACTATAGCGATGGGAAAATTGAGAGGTTGGTTAGGTTTATAGAGGAAGGAGATTAGTTTCAGTTTTAGGGCACTAAAAGCTATGTTGTTGATTGCGGTTCTGAAACTGCGATAGAGAAATAAGGAAATTGAAGAAAAAACCTGGACGACTTTCTCACGCGGTGGTCGGTAGGGAACTCCGGCAGCGTTTCCGGGGAGGTGAGTTCAGAGCGAGTCCAAGTAGTTTCTGACGGTATGGAGAAATGGTAGCGGCTGATTTTTTTTCTTCTCTTTAGTGGACGATGGGCCTGTTCAAGAGGAAGTGGACTGGGCCATGGAATAAAATCATAGGAATTTAGGGAATTTCTTATTCCACGCGGTAGGATGGAAAAACACCCTATGAAAAATCTAAAATGCCTTTCAGTTTTTAGAGATGCATTTTCAAACGCATCTTGTCTTGTTAACTGATTCGGAGATGTATCTCCGAAATATTTTAAAATATATTTCATGCATCATTCTCTAAAAGATCCATTTTAAATATTTATTGATCTAGAGATGCATCTCCGTTTAGGATTTACAGAGATACATCTCCGTTTAGGATTTACGGAGATGCATCCCCGTAACCTATTAGAACATTGCAATTTAAATTAGTTTTATGGTCACTCAGATGAAATTGAGAATTTATATATGTTAAGGCATCGGTTATGTGATGAGTATTAAACCATACAATCGATATGTAAAAATGACAATGTAAATTCAAGTGGTCAAAATAAGTCATCAGTCAATACACAATGAGGTTGAAATACACAATAAAGTCGAAATAAGTCAAAACAAAATAAATTAAAAGTACGAATAATATCAATTACTACGTATGTCAGATAGAGTTCCTCGGGCTCCTTGGCCTCCTCTGCCCCCCGTGCTCTAACATTGTCTCTGGTACATCAGTGTCTCTCGTGCCTCTGTCATAATGACATCTAGGACATCCCTCACCTCAGAACCATCAGAAAAGATACTTATGTTAATGTCTACCTATGCAATCTCTATAATGCAACGACATCTAGGGAAGACATCATGAGCATGACCTAACTGTGTCTCCTCCTCCTCTAGTATCTCCTGATGAGCTGACCTCAGTGGATCTCTTGGAGAAGCATGCACCATATACGAATGTGACATCCTGAAGAGTCATCTGATGTACTCGTCGACATAGCTCCAATCACTCTCGGTTATGGTATTATGTGCCTCCTTCAATACCAGATGACTAAGATAATCATCAAACATGACATCCATATCTCTACCTGTCATAGCAGGAGGAGAAGAGATATAAGGGTGTCTGAGAATAGTGTGAGTGTAGCCGAACTAACTCATGATGTGTTCAAGTAGATGAGGAAATGTCAGATCTGAACCTCAAGTCAACCATCCTGAGTAGAACATTATGTTGTCAAATGGATGAGTCTCACAGTGATTGACATAGTTGTTAAAGAGCGTATCATCGGCTACCAAGAGGTCAAAATACACTCAAAATGGCCTTATGTCTAGTCCTTTCTATGTGGGGAAAATGCAGAAGCACACAGCATATCCTCAGTATAGGTCGGTACACACAACCAACCGTAGATGTGCGGGAAGTGCTAGAGGATCCAAGCCTGAAAAGTGTTGGAACACACAAATCATCAGTAATAAGTGTTGCAAAAATGTAATGAAAATGACACACAAACACTAAATGACAAATAAATATTATCGTCAAAAGCATGATGTGTTGTAGTATGCCCTAATAACCAATCAATATTGGCTTGATATGCTTTTGTATCATGACCTTGATATATATTGTTTGTTAATATATATATATATATATATATATATATATATATATATATATATATATATATATATATATATATATATATATATATATATATATATATATATATATATATATATATATATATATATATATATATATATATATATATATATTTACTAGGCATTGTATTTATTGTGTTATTTGTATATGACATGATAAAGTCCTTAGAATAATTAGTCTATTAAGGATCTGTTAAGTGTGACTTAATCGTGAGACCGCATTTAACTTAAGGACGTTATTCTTAAAATAATATTCGTAATCAAGCTTTATTGTCAAATAGGACAATAGTAATGCATAAAGATCATTATGTGAGTAGATTAATGACTGTATCTCACAAGTAATGAATATGAGATATCAAGTCTTCACGTAGGTATAAATATTAGGAGTAATATTTATACTGGATTGATCCATCATGAGAATACTACATAGTTTGTTATGTAAGTGTCATAAGTTATTCTCATAGTAATAGTGATGCATACTATCCTTCAACCTGAAACCACTATGAACCTTAGATGCTACAAGCTGAAGCTTAAATGAAGAATGCTCAATGAAGAAGAAGCTGAAGCAAACAACTGAAGTGCGTACAACGATGCAACATGCTAAAGACATGTGAAACTAGTCAAGTGAAACATCAATAAGTGAATTATAGTAACTTAGTTGATCTTGATGGTTAAACTGGAAGAAGCATTATATGCTCAAGAAAGGAGTTCATCAAAAGAAGCTTAAAGCTAATGAAAAGAAGTAGTATTGCTCATTAAGAAATCTTTTTAGCAATACATAACTAATGTATTATAATCTCTAGAGATTCATTATTTAGATAGTTTTCTTTATTAAAAAGCAAGGAGTTGTTGCTCATATATTGCTTATAAACACTTAGGTGTTCATGTACTTCATTTGTGTAATCAGCTTGTAAGAAGCATATAAGTGCACAAGAAAATCCTTGAAAAAGGTGTTGTTCCTTAAGTGGTCGAGTGAAGACCAAAGTGCTTGAGATGACTAAGTGTGTTTCTAACAGCTTAGTGAATGTTGTTCCTTGAGCGGTCGAGTGAAGACCAGAATGCTTGAGAAGGCCAGGTCATTTCTAACGGCTTAGAGGTTGATTCCTTGAGAGGTGAGTAAATGTCGGGATTCTCAAGAAGACAATGGAAGGTATCCATTGTGGTTGTAATCGTTGATGATTATTAGATTAATTCCTTGTGATAAGGCGAAATCACCTTGAGGGGTGGACTGGAGTAACTTCATTAACAGTGAACCAGGATAAATATATTGTGTCATTTTTTATTTATTTTCATAGTTATATTTATTCTTCTAATTCTGCAAAAGGGAATAAAATGTAAAACTCAATTCAAACCCCATTTCTTGTGTTTCTCAACCTTCAATTAGTATCAGAGCTCTGGTTATATTATTAATATTTGTCAAACACTTAACTGTGTCAGATAAAGATTTGGACGAGCTTTGAGAAACGCTCTGGTTAATCTCTTCCACCATCTACAATTTCAGTCTCATACAATGATGAAAAGATTGAGTATTGAAATGACAAACCAGAAAGGTTCACTCTGGATTGTGTCACAGATTCTTAGAGTTAGTCATTATTGACTACATAATTCTCTCTTATGGCGCTTGCAAGAAGATTAAAAGCAAGTTGAAGAATCGGCTGGTAAAAGGATAATAGACTCATCAAATAATTACAAGAATCTGATGAATGTTATTATTAGAATACATTAGTTGAGAGCTACGTACCTCCTCAAGTGATGCCTAAACAAGGCTTAAGAAGAATGATCTAGAAGAGATCAACAAGAATCATCAAGCAAGAAATCTTATTTGCTGAAAGTTAATTCTTTCTGAGTATGAGATGTTTTCAATAAATAGACTCGGTTTACCGTTGACTTTCTCAGTATTGCTCATTAGGATTCTGCCGTTGACTTTCTCAGTATTTGTCATTAGGAACTCTTTCATGTGAAGAAGAGAAAATTATCGTATCATAATTCTGAAGCATGTAAACTTCAAGATGAAGTTTGCTGAAGATGTTAATAATATTATCATCAAGATTTTAAATCATGACTGTAGAACTTAAGATTCTTAATGATGATTTCTTCATCAGGATTCTTGAAAAAGATGATCAGAAGCTTGCTATTTAAATAAAAGCTTATGGAAGCTGATCAAGCATGCAGAAGATCTGGAGTAAAGTCTCTCTTGAAGAAATCAAGATCAGAAGATGTAGAGAAAAGTCTGATGGCAAAAGAAGTCACTTGCTATAAGTGAATTAAGTTATGTCATGTCAGATGAGTCTATCTTGACTTCAAAAAGACAAAGCCTAATATCGGACCTCAAAAAATGAGAACAAGCTCGCAAAGCGCAATCACGCGCTCGCGGAATGGACTTAACAGAGTCGCCACCAAACTTTATTTATTCGCATAGAGGGAAAGGGAAAATATTGAATAAAACCCCTAAATGAAAGGACAAGAATGTGGTTATCGCAACCAGTATCTAAGTTTGGGAGTTGGTTAGCAGAAGGAAGGTATTAGCACCCATTCACGTTCGTTATACTCAACAGGAACCCATTTAGTTAGGGTCTAATGTATGTTAGCTTAAGGTTTGTTTCTAAATCTTCTACTTATTGAATGGGAAATGAGAGAGAAATGATTATTATTATTAAGAGAGAGGAAAAAATTTGGGGTATGACAACTGCCCCTATTTAAATATCTTTACTAGATGACATGAGTGATGACAATCCTCATGAAATCATGGTGAAAGGTATTTAAATATAGAAAATCTAAAAAGTTTCCCTTAAATGCAACAACATGTTATGCTACGGAAAAAAGAAAAAACTATGCAATACTGACATGTAATGAACTCTAATATGATGCAAATAATGGAATGGTAAATGCAAAATGCAGATAAAAATGAGAGCAAACAGGCATAGAGTCAACACAATGAGTAACCACTCACTGGGGATGATAACACATTGAGGAAGCGGAAACAAACTAGGGAAATCTAAAGTGATTGAACAATAGGTCTGAGCATGACTGTGTGACACTTTAGTAAGAGAAAATCCTCATTGGAGGTTGAACCAAGAGATGGTCTCCATTGGGGAATATCCAGAGTAGTTGATCAATAAGTACAAGCAATGACCGATTGACAC